AGATGAAAACTACCTGCAGCCTCCAGCCTTCCTCTTCTGGTCTTCTCCCTCCTCATGTTTTATTATTTTGCTTTGACTTAGCAGCTTTTGCCAGCCAAGGAGCACTTCACAGGATACTGAGCCACAGGCTTGGGTTGGGATGGGTGGTATTACAAACGATTACAGAGCCCCACTGCCTCCAAGGAAGCATCTGGTCCTTGGAGTCAGAGAAATTTTACACTTGAACCAACTTTACTAAAGGAATAATCAGTTTGTGGATATTATTGATATACAGATGCCTGCTCTGATGTAGGTGGGCTCTGGTTTTACATCTTCTCTGTCCCGTGGAGATGGCCTATGCCTCTGAGTCATATAAGGAGGGATAAATCTTAAAGCAGTAGGAAATGTTCCACAAATGCAAATGGAGCAAGAGTCATTTAAAAGTATAGCTGTTAGTGTGAGCAAAATTGAGAATCTGGCCAGTAGCAAATCTGCAATTACATGTTTCAAGATGCTAAGTGAATGCAAGCAACTTAAGCAATAAAGGATTCAATATCCAGCTGACGTGTTTTATCACAAATGTGGTAATAGAGATGTTTGGTTTATTGGCTGTTGTTTAGCCTAGTGTTCATAAACGACTGATACTTAATTAATTGAAAGTGGTATTACAGAAACCAATCTGCTTACAAAGGCTCCTTTTAACTAGCAGTTGTCATAGTCGTTCTGCTCTCAGAGAAGTAAATTCTAAGTTATTATCTCTTCTCAGAAACATAGCTAATAAACGTGAAAAGAAACTGTAAAGGAGAAATACCTGAAAAAATGCTTTTATGCCTTTTTTCTTTTTTTTCCCCTCTGGGTAAGGACTGTGTTCACAAATAATTTTCATTCTTTGTAGTGATTTTTTTCTTTTTTCCTGGTAAAGGCAGAAAATTTGCTGGGGTTATTGGCAAATCAGGGTCAAAATCCCATCTCCTTCCTCATATCTGATAGTAAACAAGAAGTAATCCCCATGGAATCACTAATTCTATCTGGACCAATAAATAAAATGTGCCTCAGGCCATATTCTCTCCCTGAAGGCAGAGGTACAACATATCCAAGCAGGTACATGCTGTTATCACCAGAACGGGATAGATATACCCACCAGGAACAGATCCTTTCCCATAATATCTCCCAAGTCATACCCTGGCAAGCACTGTCCTGGAAGTCTGAATTGACAAAAATGATGCTGGGTTTTGTCAAAACTTGTGATTTAACAGATTGGTGACTGATGATCAGTGCTCAGTGTAGACTTCCCCAGTCTTCTTCTATCCAGACCCCAAGCAGAGGAATGTCGGGTTTTTGTCCCGAACTGGGCAAAGCATGAGCAATCTTGTTCCAGGACGTATCTCAAAAGTCTTCATTAAGACTTCATACATCCAGCTTTGTTTTCCTGCTCAGCCACAGTCTATCTGCATGACCTTGGGCAAGTCACTCTTCTGGCTGGACTGCAGACTGCAGCGTAGCGTAGCAATAACCGCGAACAGTGGTCCCTGAAGCAATGGGAGCAGGCATTTTCCTACAGCCTGGTTCACCTGCCCTTTCAGAAGAGTGAACTAGCCTACTATGACCTCTGTGTTGCTACAGTAGATTTTAAACCCATCTCAGATGTTTGAAACCACACTGCAGTCTGCACTCTGGATGTAAGTGCGATCTCTGTGCTCCACCTCGGGCGAGTGGAGAGACCAAGACTTACCAACTTACAGAGGGGCAGTGAAGACAGATTTATTCAAGGCTATAACCTCTTCCAACACTACAGCAAATAACGATTAAACAATTATTACCCTCTAGCACCAGATTTTCTTAGGAAAAGCCAAGTAGTTTCATTAGATTTTGCAGCTCACTAACAGCTGTATCAAAACCGGAGCAGTTTGCTGAAATCTGCTTGTACAGCTCCTACAAAGTTCCTGTGAAAGACCTGGCAAAAACTCACCCACAGCTAGCCTTCAGCCAGCCTCACCTGAGAGAACTGAACCAATCTGGACTCCAGCAGGAGATGAGGAGAGGGGCAAAGTGAGAGCTGCTCACAAGGCTTGAGGGAAAGAAAAAAACCTACAAGATATTTTTGCAGCTCCCGGATGGAGCAGGAGAGGGATTGGAACAGCTCAATATTGTCATTGTGGTTCCCAAACCAGTACAGGTTGATGCCTGACCCATGTCAGCTGCAGACTAAACACATCTGGGACACCTTCATCATTTGTAAACCCACCGTGTTGTTCTTAGAAGAATTTATTAAATCTGAAGCCATTATTAAAAGAACAAGACAGAGCAAAATCTACCAGTATTAACCAAGCAATGTGTTCTTTGAGAAAGTGAGGCAACCCAGAAGATCCTGGTGGATCCTTATGGTGCAGGAAAGTTTAGCTGAGAAATCTCCCAAGGACATGGACTCGTGAGTGTGATGAACACTGGTCCACACTGAATAAGGGCAGGCAGACTCGTCCCTCTTGTTTGCATTCCCATGAGGTCTAGCCACAACTGCTCCTTCGTGTCGTGACTTAAGGAAAAAGAAATAAAAAACCTCATAGCTATAGCCACAGGGGTTGTTTCCTTTTACTGAACATCCAGAGACTGACCTACCCTGGTGGGTGCAGCATTTGAGATATTTCTGGTTAAACACACCTAGACACCCCAAAACAAGCAACACAGACCTGGGTTTCTACAGCCTTTGCTCAGAGGTGCAGAGAGAGGGAGGTCAGTAAATAGACTGGGAGACTGGACTAAGATTTTGGCCATGGGTTGAAACAGAGCAAGAGACATTTGCCCACAACTTCCTAACCCTTGGTAGATGGGACACAGAGATGACAGAGATGACCTAGTGAATTAATCTATACAAACTAGTAATGTATTCTCAGCAGCTGGAGCCAAAGAGACCAGAGGAGGTGAATCTCTGAGGACACACCACAGCTGAAGGCCAGCCCAGGTTCAGGGCTGACCTCAGTCCCACAACAGAGTCCTTAACGCACCAGAAAAAGAAAAACGGTGGCAAAGTGTGTTTCTCAGTGACAGCCGGAACTCTCCCTACCCGCAGAAATGGGTTGTAATCAGCTTTTCTCTAAAGTGCAGTCACAGATTTTGGCAGCTTTAACTCCCTTCACTGAGAATTGGGTAGAAAGCTGCCTTCTCTGTCCAACTTTAAACCTCGTTACTTAAGTGCATTTATTCCTTCATCCGGAAGATGATACTTGGGGTTTGGATGTGCAGGGCTGGTATTCAGCAGTGCTCAGAATCAGACATCTATGTTTCGGGAAAACCTTTCTCTGTGTGTGAATTATCTACCGATCACTTATTCTAATAAATCTCTAATCCAGACCAGGTTATTTTTTCTTTTGCTTTTATCTTTAAAAAAGGAGTAGCTGTAGGCACTCTCCTAGTAAAAAAAACATTGCAAGTAACTGCATCCTAGTTTTGCAAAGCTCAATTAAGGTTTCTCTACACAAGAAATGGACTGAGAGAGTAGGAAGACTATTTCTGTACAAAGCTGGTTTATAATTATGTTAGTGCAGATTATCAGTGTCCTCCACTGAACTAGCTTAATCTTGACTATAGAAATAAGCAAAATGTAAATAAAGCACTTTAATTCTGCAATAGCAGGATTGTCTTCACAGCAAACTAACAGATAAAATTTGTTCAGGGATATTTAACCCAGAATAACTCATGTTTCTGAGCACTCCTTGCACTCAGGACTTTCCAGCAGCAGCAAGGACACCTTTTCGTTTCCACACACTCGACTCAAACAGCCACAACTCTGTGCAAAGCAATTGCTAACATTTAGAACAACAGGACCAAATCCCAGCTGTCCCACTTGGCCCTTTTACTGAAGCAAAAAGCCCAATAAAATCAATCTATGTTTCTGCTTCAGATTTTGGGACAGGGACTGGCTTCCCTTTTTTTCCTGGGAAATGAACAATAAGAAACACGCAATAACTTCAGGATCTGGCCAGTAATTACCAGAGCACTACCTCCCTCATCCCCGAGGATGTCTTTGAAAAGAGGAGGACAGGTAACCCCAAAGACCCTCTCTGGTTTACAAGAAGGACCATATTCTTTTCCTTATGACCTAAGCCATGAGTAACTAGTGTGCTAGGGAGTTTGTTGCACTCTGTTAAATAAATCCTGCCTCTGGTGCAATGCCTAGGGGCACATGCAGATATACTGTAATTTGCAGAAACTTCTTTCAGCAGCCACCTGCAAAGTTTGTGCCTTATTTGCTCCTCATGGCAGGTTAGTCCTGGTGAATTGGATTGCTCCAGATGAGGGGGAAAGCAGACGGTTGCTTGTGTGCCAGGGAAATCTTCCTAAGATCATTTGTTCATTCTTTTAATTGCAAGGACTGAAACTTCTTTCACCTTTTACCTTGTTTCGCCTTGGCTGGAAGCCTCTAGCTGATGGGATCTGTCCCAAAGCTCCAGCCCATCCATCAGCGGTTATTTTCACACTGAGAGAAAAAAGCCCACCTCCTTTCCCCTTCTTTGCATGCAGGTAAAGAAAAAGAAGGCAGGACACCTGAAATCGCTGCTGGCCCAAACCTCCTGCTGCTCCTATGGCACTCGCAGAAGCAGGGAGATACAGGAGCTCACTGTGCATTTGAGGAAAGCCTTTTCTGGCCATATTAATAATAAATTACCCCATGGAAAAGGTGGAAAAGGTGATAGTGAAATGCCAGCTCTCAGTCCCCACCGGCCTCCTGTCCCTTTTCCCCAATGTATTAACCCTTCAAGGCACTGCAAGGTCTCCCGGTCCCGAGGCTGTTCTCCACTCCCTGCTTCTCCTGGTTCGCTAGCTACAGTCCCCCCCACCCTCCCTCCTCGTACAGAACAATAGCAAGGCACCGATTTCAGCTGCTTCCCGAGGAAAGCCCAGATCACACACATTTAGATATATATATAGAGAGAGAGAGATATGATTATATTTCTTTTTGCTGTTTAGGACAAGAAATGAAGTGCTGCCTCTTTAATTGGCAAAAGCATGCAGTAAGAGCATACCTTTAATTTAGTGTTGGGATAGCTCACTTGCACCCTGGCTGTTGTCTTATTGGAGAGGGCAGCCTGCCTCAGATCCTCTAGCACTGAAATAATATCATCCAGCACGCATTTCTTATCCTGATTTCTCAACACACACAGATGGGAAAAAGTATAATTATAGCCTTTGTAGTTCACCTTCATTTCCAGCACGGCTCGGTGGATCTGCAGGATCACATCAGCCTGATGCAAAATATTGCCTCCGGGTTTGGAGAGGAGAATCACCCTGCCATACCTTCCCGGGGTGTGCAAGTCCGAATACAGCTGGCTTTTGGATTGATCGAGGGAGAAAAGGCTGCTGGCTAAGCTCCTCTCGATCTTGGCCAGGCTGTGGCTGGGGGCTACCAGGCTCTCCAGGTCAGTGTCAGGCTGGAAGCGGTTGAGCAGGCTGAAGCCGAAGATGATGGTCAGGACTGCGGGCACAGTGAGGAAAAACACCGGATGCCTGCTCACGAATAAGCCCAGCTTGTAGAAAAACGACTGGAGCCCTCTGTGTATCACCTGCCGCAGCATCCTCCACCAGATCCAGCCTGCAGATGCTCCTGGCCGTCTTAGAAAGCACATGTGACATGTGTAGCTCCTTACCCCTTCCTGCCAGTTTCCCTTTCTCTCTCCCTCTCTCTCTACTACTCCTTTAAAAGACTGCAGCAAGTTGCAGCAAGACAGCCAAATATTGATCAATGGGGTGTGTGTGCGCGCGTGTGTGTGTGTGTGTGCGGGTGTGTGTGCCGGGGGTGGAAGGGACCGGGCAGAGGAGGGAGGAGGGGGGTCCAGCTTTTTTTTTCTCTTTCTCTTTTAT